TGTACACTCACGCGCTGGCCTCCACTTTGCTGGGCAGCCTTCTTCCTCCAGTTTCCAGACGCCTACTTTGCGGGCCTTGTCGGCCAGAGGAGGGCTCGGCATTTCCAGCTAAACGCCCGCTGCATGTTTTTATTATTCTTTTTAGCAGGAGTAGGAAGAAGAGCATTCTCCTTCCTTTATATCTGCATCTGTTCGTGGGACTGCAGTGTACTCAGTTTCTCGCACTAGGAAAACCGCGGAGGTAGAACTCACCAGTCCTCTCTTGGGTCCGCGCACTCTCTTCCTTTCCCCAGCATGGGATGCGGGCAGCTTGTTGGGGACCTAGATAGTTGGTATCGGACACAAGCATCTCAAATCCGAGAAAAGAAAAGGAATAAGTTATTACGCGCCCTACCGTTTGCTTAGCAGGGTTCACATTTTCGCGGTTTTGAATCCAGCAACGTTGGAGTTTGGCCCGAGAGCTTTGGCTGTTTGCTGCGAGAGGAGGGCGCTGTCAAGCCCGGCTAGAGGGGACAGCTGAGGCCAGTAAGGATTTCTGTGGTCTTTTCCCAGGCCGCCAGAGTTGCTTAAATGGTAATTTGTGTAATCGGTACAAGATGCCCATTGTGTGTTAACCCGTTTTAGGTGTTAGGAAAAATATTCCTTGAAAGACCAGCCTTACTTTGGTGGAAATCTGTGTTCTCCTTAGGGGTCTGGGATCTTATCCTGTTCTCTCCGATTGGCTCTTTTGTTGGTGCCCTCCTGCTAAGGAAGAAAAAAATGACGCTTTTGGCCTGACAAATGGAGCAAATATTTTTCTAGTAAAATAGATGCTCCCTTAAATATAAATGTACTACACAGGATCCAACACCTCTAATGGGACCTGTTTCTTGTTGAAGGATAGCTACATCCACTATTAGATTAACCTAAGTCTAATAGTGGATGTAGCTATCTGCTTGCACAGATTGGCGTGAAGTGCAGTACTTAGCTTTACCAATAACTGACCGGTGAGTTTCTGGTTTACTTTCTGCCAAAATTTGTTAGAGTAATTCTCATTTAAGGACTTGATGCCACAAATCCTAAGAAAGTTTGCCAGAGATTTTGAATCCTTCGAAATCCTGTCTCTCCACCTATCATAGTTTGCCTCAATATCCTGGTAGAGATGGTAAAGATACTAACTTTATTCCAAAGATTTTGACGAGACAGTGGTTTTTTCAGCTCTTAGTTTTAAAGAGAAGGTTGTGTGTGTGTGTGAGAAAAGGGAGTGGGGAGATAAAGAGAGGTATTTGTTTTGATAAGGCACAGTTTGGGAAAGACGGAGACCTAAGTGATGGGTTCTTGAGGGAACTAAAGAACAAATTTACTGAAGTAGGTAGTGAGAATAGAGGTTTAATGAATTCTTTCACGTGGTTGGTCTACGGCTCTCTCAAAAGACGCTGCACACTGGAGTAGGCACCATAAGTAGGACATACTGTAGGAAAAAACTCCTGTCTTTGGCTTGTAATTTGGTGTAATATGAACCAGGAAGAAAATCAGCCAAAAAGATTATCTTAACAAGGACAAAAAAAATGGAAAGTCTAAATTTTAAAAATATTTATTATTTCATTTGATCATTCCAAAGTTTTATGAGGTAGGCATGATCTCTGTTTTACTGATAAGAAAACAGTCTGCATAACCAGAATGTGCCAGAGGCAGGATTTGAACCCAAGTCTGCCTGACTGCCTGGGCCATAAAAAGATTAATGAGTCTCATTTAGTTCATTTGAAGTGGAGCTCAGTCTGGATCATTTTTAAAGGTCCTCTCAGATTATAACTTTCTAGGAGTCTATGAATATTAATTGAGAATGCAAGCAAGAGGTGGGCTGTGGATCAGACGTGCACTGCTAAGGAAACATAAGACCCTTCAAGTGGCTTTCTGAGTCTTTGGGAAGACGAGACAAGTATACGGGATAAAGTGACCTGACAGTACAAAGTGGTTTTTGATCATGTGCGCAAGCTGAGTGCTATGGGTTTTTTTTTTTAATAGATGTTTTGAGGAACAAGCTCAATGTAGTCTGAAACCATGAAAATACTTTAGAGAGACAGTGGTTTCCGTAAATTGTATTTTCAGCAGGGAGAAGCATCTGCGTAACAGCTAGAGGAATGCTGAGTTTTTCTTGCCTAAAAGAGTGTTAGTGTTTTCTTTGCATGCTAGTGGAGTACATAGAGATGGCCCAGGAAGACTGTGATGGGTATCAGAAATGAGGAGTCCAAGCAAGTGACTGGGGCGTTCCAAGTGAAAATGAGGCTGGTCTTATAGTTTAGCTGTCAAGTTGGTTGCCCAGATTTTAAAATTCCAAGATGATTGATCTTTTGGCTTTGGTATCCAGTTTAGATTGCTTTTGCTAAAACAGCTTTGACCCTCAAACATATAGGTATGTATTTATGCATTTCTATGCTCATGTTTCTTTTCATGTAAAATCTTGATTTTTCTGGATAGAAGGAAACATTGTTGGCCACCCAACATGCAAAATGTTCCTTGATAATGGTTTCCAATGAATGGATTTACTGTGAAAAGATACTTGGATGCACGATACTATAATAATTATTCAGTGAGACTTCAGGGAGTTTGAGCATTGATTCTGTTGGGAGACGTTTGGTCCATGGGACTTCGACAGTTGTCTCGCCATTTGCAGTATTTATAGGGTAGTCCAAACACTGATTAAGATGGTCCTTAAGGGCTTTTACGTGACAAAAAATTGTTTTAGTTTTATCTTTAAAGTCATCTCAACTTATGGTCCCAGCACATGCTGTTTACAACTCCATTTTCTGTTTACTGTTTGATAGTCAACTCAAGAAGCATTGTTTTTGCACACTAGTGTGTTCATCAGATATGGAAGCTTTTCTTGAATTTTCTAAACGCAATGAAAGTGACATATCAGAAGTGAGGGAAAGACTGGAGTGGTTAGTGAATTCCCTAGCCTTTTGGTATGTTCTTAACTTTTCCTGTATTTATTTGCAAAAGGGTAAGAAAGCTCGTATGCATTTCGTCCTGTGTGAATTTTTTAAAGTCTACTCAAAGTGGAGGTGAAAATGTTCATGCTTTCTTCTAGTTTTGCTGCTGCTGTGTTGCTGTTTTTGTCCTGTGTCATATATTAAACAGCTGCTTTTTTCCTTTTAAGGACTCCAGTGGAGTCATATATAGATCACCACCACTAGGGATACAGAAAACGAGTAAACTCTTGGTAGTATGCACCCAACAATCACGCTCAAATTTTTAAAGGGTTATTTAAAGACAAATCAACCATTTGAAATAATGGTGGACTTTTCATCAAGACTTGAAATTTTAGCTGAGATAAAATGTAAGTCTGAAAACAAAGGATTGATTCAAGCCAGCTGGCTCTTGCCCTGTCTCTGCAGGAGGAGCCTCCCTGTGGCCTGCCTCAAGCCTAGAAACCAAGTTTGGGCTCCTCCATGGCCCAGCTGTCAGCATTGGGCAGGTGTGCAATCTCAGCAGGAGAACCTGCTTCTGAAGCCAGACCAAGGTGGCCTGTTAGCTGCCAGCCAGCCTGGGAGCAAGACCTCAGTCGGTTCTCGGGTGTGTAATCTGCGCCCAGCTTGGGATCTGCTCTTCACCTGTCAGTTGAGAGGATGATTCTTTTCTGGACTTGTGAAAACGGGCCCTGGTTCTGGAAATGGGCCTAGAAACAGAAATAGCCTCTTTCTCTGGGTGGGCACCTGACATCTTACATGGAGAGGGGCACAGGAAATCAGAATAGCAGTGCCTCCTTCGTTCAAGGACAGCCTGGGATCTGTGCTAAGCATTGAATCTCTGCTCAATAGTGTCACTACAACAGAGAAGACTGTGATGTCTGGAAGCTCTTCCTGCCCATTTTGGCAATTACCAGAAGCAATTAATGGATTCTGAAGCTTTTGCTTACTGTGACTGAAGTAGCATAATTATTCTATTGAAGAACATTTTTTTTTCTCTCAATCCTCATGTTAGTAAACATTCCATTCAGAGTCCTAAAGTTTTCTACCTATTCCCGTGTGGCAGGACACGTTGCTTCTATGAACAAAGATCATCAACGGCCATTTACATTAAGCTTTTATGATAGTTAATGATAGCTAATACTTTTGTTGTGCTAGGCTTAATGGTTAGTACAAAATTCTTCAGGTAAAACTTACTGAACTCCTAAATCTTTATGTTGTCTTTTGGGATTCAAAATTCCCATGAGGAAGGTGTATCAGTTTGGAGGATAGTTTTAGAGTTCTGCTGTTTAAAAAATTTGTTTTTAAATTTTTTTAAAAAGATCATCTTTGAACAAAATATAATGTGGCAAGAATTATACTTGCATAATCTGGTTGACAGCTGAAATGGTTATTTCAGTGTGTTTGTCATTATAAGTCTGCTTTAAAAATATAAAAGAAATAAAATGACAAAGCACTTTTCAAGACTAAATAAAATTCCTATTTTGTAGTCAACATAACAAATGTAGATAAGGTCTTGATAATGTGCAGATTGAGGAGTCTTAAGGGGTGATAGATTCAAAACAGTGAGTGCCGGCTTTCCTAATTTTCTTGCAGGGACTAACACAGGAGAAGAAGGGACTTCGTGGCAGGTAGACTACAACTTTATTTTTGAACGGTTTTGGGTAAATCGTGCTACCGTGTTAGGAATCTCGGACTGAATGTCAGGACCCAGGATTTGACTTGACTTTGCCACAGCCCACGTGACCTTTTGACCAGTCTGATCCTCCGTTTTCTGGGTTGTAGAGTGGGCAGGGGTGGGCAGTAGGTCTACATTCTAAACTCTTGCGGTTTTACATTCTTCTTCTCAGATATTTCTTTGGGAGGGAGAGGAAGATGGGGAGCTTCTCAGTAGGCCTCTTTTTGGGGAAATGAATCTTAATTTATTGTTCATCTTAGATAGTTTA